TTTTTTTTTAATAGTATTGTTGGTTTTAGGGTTTTCAGGCCCAAGGAGGTCCAACACAACCGTAGTTGGTGGATTCACCGTTTTAATAAAAAAAAAATGGACTTAAAAGAAATTAGACACAATAATTTTGACGTGGAAACCGAAAGGTGAAAACCACGGGCCTTTTTGAGCGGTGCCAAGCCTAAATTCACTATTCTGTAGGATTTTTTGTACAAGTTGTATGACTATTTTGTATATAGAAATATTGTGTAGGGAAAGAGCTATACTTTGTATATAGAGAGAGAGTCTTCCTCTTGATCTTCTTGTTGGGAGAATGGTGGAGTCTTCCCATGTGTGATGAATGGAGTCTTCTTGAGTGAGAGTGGAAGAATGCTACTTCCTAGTAAGAGGAAGGATGATGGAGTCTTCTTGTTTGGAAGAGTGGAGAGTGGTTGTGGGAGAGTGACATGCCTCCTCTTGTGGTAAAAAGAATAGTGTCCTCCGATGTAATGATGAATGAGATGCCCCCTTTTGTGCTCTTCTTCTTCTTCTTATAGCTAGCATAGGCTTCAAGATTATAGTCGTTGAGTAAGATTTATTAGGCTTTATGAGTGATAATGATGGCTTAATTTGGTAATAAATAGGGGGTTAGGAATTGAGAGGGTATGGAAATTAGAAATAAGGTGGGTAGTTAGTGGGTTTGAATAGGGAAATAAATGTGTGATAATGGGGTATTTTGACCGGGCTTAGATGGGCCAATCGGGGCTAGGCGGTCTAACTGGGCCCAAATATTGGGTATCCGCAAATTATGCTGTGGACTCGTGTCCACGAGTCCAAAACGACGTCGTTTTCAGGAAAAACGCGGGCATTCCAGTTTTTTTTTAAAAAAAATTGATTTTGTCTCGCCTTTAACGGCATAAACGGCGTTATTCGTTTGTGTCATTATGAATGTACAGTTATGAAATTATGAATGTACAGTTATGGAATTATAAATGTAAGTTATAAAATTATGAACATAGAGCTCTGACATTATGAACTTACAATTATGAACATATATAGTGATAAAATTATGAACATAGAGCTTCGAAAATTATGAATGTACAGTTATGGAATTATGAATGTACAGTTAGGGAATTATGAATATACAGTTATAGAATTATGAATGTACAGTTATGGAATTATGAACACAGAGCTCTGACATTATGAACTTACAATATGAACATATAGTGATAAAATTATGAACATAGAGCTTTAAAATTGTAAACATAGAGCTTCAAAAATTATGAATTTACAATTATTGAATTATGAATGTACAGTTACAGAATTATAAATGTACAGTTATGGAAGTATGAATGTACAGTTATGGAATTATGAACAAAGAGCTGACATTATGAACTTACAATTATGAACATATAGTGATAAAATTATGAACATATACTCCTATAACGAAGCGGTCTGAAATTTAAAAAAAAAAAAAAAAGTGGAAGATAATGGTGCCACTAACGGCACCGTTATTGTGTCCACAATGCATTGTGGACACGGGTCCATAGTATAACGATTGTTGGGTACCCATCAAGTATAATACATAATTTTTTGTGTCCTCCTACCTCAAAATATTTGGCCCTTCCCAATCAATCTTGCAAACTAAATTTCCTATTTTCTAGCCTTTTTCACAATATAAATTCTTATCTTCTTCAACGAGTAACATGGTCATTTTTTCCTTTGAATCTTTTGATGAATTACTATATTGTATATTTTCATTTCTTTTCATGCAGTATTCTATGAATAAATGTATTAATGGTGGCTTCTGTCTTCCATGTCAAAGAAGAATGTGATTACATAAACAAAAAATTAGATATATAAGATATAGATATTAATTTGAAACAAAGAATTAATTAATATTGAGAAGAAAATATTAGTCTGCTACTCGATTTTAGTAGATTTATAATGCTGAATAATGTATCTTGAAATATGTTAAATAAATATTAATATATTTAATTATTCATACTTAAATCCTAATTGATCCCTCGCACAATCTAATCTTGGCTCCACCCCTGATTCTCTCGTATTCTAAAATCTTTCTAAGATTGCAACAATCGAAGTATAATAAAAAATATTTTATTTCAATATACAATACTAAGCAATCATTTAACATATTTGATATTAACTAATTAATTTTAAAACATATTATCATAAATATACGACAAACTATAAAATAACTTACTTTATAACTCTCACAATTTGATATGAATCACAAACTATCACATATTATAAATTTATCAAATGCACGATTTACAATACTAATTAGATAATTAATTACTTATGAATAAATATTACAAATTAATTTTTACAAATACCATAGAATATTATTAGAACTAAGGATTATATTGAAAATAAATTTAAAAAATTGGGGATGTATTTAAAATTATTTTAAAAAAATACATAACAATGTACTAGATGTTTTAAACTAAAAAAATAATAATAATGCTACGTAATAAATAACAGGCGGAGTGGGGGGAATACTTGGATATAAATCGTAGAGCATTTTATACTCCTTGTGATAGGCATAGTCTTAACTTGACTTTGTGTGACGTTGCAAATAGTTGTGGCAAAGCAATGAATTTCTTTGGAGTAGTGCAACGTATTTATACAATATTTGATAGTTCCACAAAGAGGTGGCATATCTTGAAAAGTAATGTAACAAATCTAACTCTTAAGCCATTGTCATCTACTCGATGGGAAAGTGGTGTGGAAAGTGTTAAAGCAATTAGATATCAAGTCACTGATATTTGAGACTCGATCAAGTATGTTGCAAGAGAGACTCCATGGATTAGCTTTAATCTCTATTGAAAATGACATTTTGAAAGAAGTTGATATCAAAAGTTTGGTGGATGATTTTGCGTCTAAGTGTGCACAATGCATGTCACTTTTTAAATGAAATTTTAGAAGTAATTTTTTTTATACAATATTTATATTTTGAATTTTTGACACAACTTTTTTGAACAACTATTATTTATATATAAGAATTACTCTAAAAAAGGGGGACCAAATTAAGATATTACACAGGACCCCAATTTGTATTGGAACGGCCCTAGCATTTGGTATAAGAGAAATACTTGAGCGTAGCCGTAACACATTTCCCTTTTGGTTAGTAAATGCTTCAACCATGTTATTAGTGAACTTTTCAATTAAAAAAAAAAAAAGAATAATTGTAAGGAAAATTTTGTTATGGGAATGAGGGTATTACTATAGTTTCATTTGACATTATACATAGAGTAACGTAGTCTTATTACAGTGAGACTTGTTAATGATTTTCATTTTATACACACTGTAGTCTTATTACAACATCACTAAATTGTAATTCTAATTCAACTACAGTTTCATTGGACAATATACACTCAAATATGTAAAATTGTTATTCAATTTCATTTTATATACACGGTAGTGTCATTACAACACAACTAAAGTATAATTTTGATATAACGAACTACAGTTTCATTTGAAAATATACACTCAATATGTGAGACATATTATTTGGTTTCTTTTTTTACATATTGTAGTTTCATTTCAGCAAAACTAAACTATCATTTTAATTCAACTACAGTTTTATTTGACAATATATACTCAATATGTGAGACATGTTATTCAATTTAATTTTATACATATTGCAATTTTATTTCAACACAATTAAAATATCATTTCAATTCAACTACAATTTCATTGAAAATATAAACAAAATATGCGAGACAAGTTATTTAGTTTCATTTTAGATACATTATAATTTTCATTTTATTCTAAACACGTCAAAAATATAAAATTTGTTAAAATTTAACAACTGTTGTTTACCTTCCAAAAAAAAAAAACAACTGTTGTTTCTTTACGTCATTTTCAGACCATTGTACACACAAGCAGAGCCCAAACCAGAACCTGGTCCCTCAAGAGAAGAATTTAAAATAGGAGCCTCACCTGCTACCACATGATTTCCCAAACCAGCGTGTGCAGTGGGGGTAGATGGGGCAGGATTTTGACCCTTTTCTCTGTTATATATATTTGCTTTCAATTACTCAATATAATTTTGAGAGTAAACTTCAATTTTAGTCATGTGACTATTGAATTTTGTTAATTACAATCTACGATTTTTAAAACTGTTAATTTAGTACCTTAACTATTTAATTTTTATCAAATCCAAATTATCGGTCAAATCTTATCGGAAAATTTTAATTAACCAATTAATTTTTAATCTAAGATCAATTTTGTCTTAACCATTATCCCCCTCCTCCTCCAGCACTCCATCGTCAACCTCCATTCCCGAAGACCTCCGTAGAGGTCGTCACGGTCGTCACCAGTTGGCGAAAAGAGCCAGTCAGCACCCGACTATGCAGTATCACACTCGCGAAGCGACCTCACCTACAATATCCGTCATATACACTGTTGACTTTTCAATCTTCTGATTGATTGAAAATGGAGGAGAAATACAAATCGCTACACATAATTCATAAGCCTGCAAATTCTTGGGTCGTTACCATATACCTGAACCGAGCCGCACACTTCAATGCTCTGTCACGCGACTTCTTCACAGAGTTCCCTAAAGCCCTTGCATCGCTCGACGAAAGCCCCAACATCGCTGTCATTGTCCAAGCCGAAGCCGAGAAACACTTCTGCACTGGTATTGAGGTCGAGTGTTGAATCCCAATCATCTGAACCTGCCCGCATGCGCGAGAAGCTCCGCTCTGACGTGACGACCTCCACGAAGGTCGCTAGGAATGGAGGATGGAGATTTTAGTTGGAGTGCTGGCAAGGATGGAGGGGGATGATGGCTAAAGACAAAATTACCCCTTAAGTTAAAGATTAATTGGCTAATTAAAATTTCTAGTGAGATTTAGCAGGCAATTTGGTCGAAGCGACTAAAATTAATAAAAATTTGAATAATTAAGATACTGAATTAACAGTTTTAAAAGTCGTGAATTATAATTAACAAGACCCCAATAGTCAGAGGACCAAAATTAAAATTTACTCTGAAATTTTTCAAAAAATAAACACTTAATTTTTTTTTTTCTATACAGGATTTAGCTATACAGAATGATGTCGAATCCCAATTTTCTGCCAGGGATTAGCGAGTAAAATAAATGTATTCAATTGCTTATAAGTTGTCCTGTGTAGGAGTGAGCATAAGCCAAAATCTGATGTGGCAGGCAGGAATTTGAAATCCTTTGGAACGTCATGTAATGAGAACCAAATAAAGGTATATAACATTCTAAATTGAGATGACTTGAACCAAGAGTAGCCTGTTCTTTTTGGTAAAGATGATTTAGGGGCGGAAAATTCTCATAACCTTCGCGACTTGGAGTCTGCAGAATGGGCACCGGGAAACTGCAGATGAGCATCTTCGGCAAAGCACATGACCACAGGGCACTATACTAACGTCTACTTCATTACTGAGACAGATCCGACACACCCATGCCGATTTAGCTGTCTCGGCTTCTTTAGACGCCGTGTCGGACTTCTCCTGCGAAGCAATATGATATGTTAGTACCATTTATCGATTTTCTCTTTAGAACTAAACAAAATTGGAATGAATGGCAAACAGTTCTCAATATTGTAGCCTGTCCAACATGAAATGACACAGGGTAAGGGTATAAAGCTTCTGCTGTAGCTGTAAAGGCCACTTCAGATTTTTCCTCACTAAAATCTTTGCAACATTTTATGGTCCACAGAATAGCAGCTTAAATCAGCATAATATATAAGCATAATACCGTTGACAATTTTACCCTACCTGAATCAACTAATAGCCACAAATAATTTTTTGTCCAACTCTTTATCCCTATAGGTAGTTTAACCAATTTCTCATCCAAATTTCAAAGATTGCTTAATAATTAAATTTTAACCACCTGTTCAAGCAAAAGAGCTGCCTGAGACTCCTTCAGTTGTTCTTGCAGTGTTATTGTGGATTGTAGTAATGATTGCTTCTCCACATCCATATTGATCCCTGCAGTAGAAAGCATCTCATGAACTGCCTGGACCAATTCTTCAGCAGAAACTCGGCCATATTGTAGTTCCTGTGTCTGCTGCTGCTTCCCCTGCCCCTATCACAAACAATCAATTTTTTTTTTGAGAAGTAATTTTAAGAGAATAAAACAGAGCATGTGTAAAGGTAGAGAAATGGCAATAAAAGGAAGTGCAAGTTGCCTTATCAAATTTCATGCAATGCACAATGTGCCAACATTATTACATTTAAAAGGTTAACTTTCGGCACATATGCAATTGACATTTAAGTACATTATATTGATAACTTCAATCAAGCTCAATAACATTGAAACAATACATTGGTTTTGAATGCACAGAGCAATTTCATTTGACCATTGTGCAGAAATATGATTAGAGGATATCTTTCTTTCTGTGTTGACTAGTATACATTACGAGTGGAAACATGTGGACAAAGTTTACCAAAAACATTGTATTGTTCAGCCGTATACCAAACCATGAGTATGGCAATTCTAGCCCTAATTTAGAAACCCTTCCAAATTTTGCCCATTTCAGCCGATAACATCAGCCCATATACGACCAAAATAAAAAGGGATAAGGGTCAAATATGCCTTCCTACTACTTCAAAAATTGAAGTTAGCACCCTGAACTAAAAAAAGCTCCAATAAACCACCACAACTGCAAAAAATAAAAAATAAAAAAAATAAAGGTGCAAATCCCATTATTTGCTGACCTGTAATTTCTTTTGTTGATGTGGAGGTTAAGAAATAAAAATTTTAAACAATGGATTAAAGATTAAACAAGTTCTTAGAAATTTTTTTAAAATAATTTTTATTTTTTATCTTCATGAATTCTCCAGTGAAATAGCTTTCTAAATCTGACGACTTCAACATCACTGTTCAAGGTCAATGATTTTTTTATTTTTTTTTTTGAGCAGAAAATATGAAGGCAGCCAATCTGGATGGCAGTTGCCTTCTTCATATGGTCTCGGATGAAAGAGGCATTGCCTCTTTCGATCTAAGCTATGGAGATCCAATAGTCTTCCACTTTGTTAAAGTCATGGTATTTTCTTTCCTTCATCACATTGTTTCTTCTTGAATGAGGTAGAGATGATGTAGATATTTTGATTCCAAATGATGGACAATTAGGAAAAATATTACAAGTCAGCAGCCATGTCATGATTACCTAATGTCACAGGAGAGTAACCTACAAATAATGAGATTTGCATTTTTTTTTTCTCGCAATTGTGGTAGTCAATTGGAGTTTGTTTAGTTCAAGGTGTTAATTGCATGTTTTTAATAGTAGCAAGAGGGTCAATTTGATCTGTATCCCAAATAAAAATGGTTCAAAGCACACTAAAAACAGGTTGCATAAAATGTAGGTCTAAACTTTAACCTCTTGATTCATAATAGCATAAAACCCTTTTGATTCCCATAACTAGCCATAGTTAATTTGGGCAGGTTGGGAAATGTGCCCATTTTCAACAACACATTTCTGAGCCATCTAACTGCCTATTTCCAACTTAAGTACTTAACAAGGATAAAATATACTGAATTCAGGCATAAAATAACCATATATTGTATTATAGTAGTCTCTTTATGAAATACTTAACCATTAATATCAATTCACCTGGTCAACACTGAAATATTGATGTTTATAATTATCATAGGGTGACAAGGAACAAACCTGAGAAAAGCTGGACTTGACTATTCCAGAACTTTCAGCACCTGCATTTAAAATGGTGGGCTGGTATTCCACCAAAGCAGAAGTCTCACTAGCAACAGAAACACATCTGAATGAGAAGACATTTGAAGACAGAATAGGTTGTATCACCCCTGACATTGTTTCCACCTTGAACCTGTAGATTGCTTGCCCTGCTTTTGGTCTCACATCCTCTGGAACTCGACCATACTTTAACTTTTCTCCATTTCCAGATCTCCAAGCAATTATTTCTCCAGCATAAAACGGTCTTAGAGGGTGAAATTGAACCTGAACAGCATCTTGGGGCAATAATTCCTTGCCCAGAAAATCATCTTTATCGCCTCCAACCCCATTTACACTCATTTGAGAACATAGTTTCAAGGCATCAACCATTGCAGTCTCAGAACCCTCAGGACAAAGAAATAGAGAACCAATTGGGAGTGGGAATGGGGAGTCCAGAACGCTGCTTACAACGATTGCAACAACATCAGTGAAGGATACATACCTTGGTGGTTCAGCAATTAGAACACACGTCTTAAATCGATCAACAAAGTACAGAGCCCTGTGACGAGTACCCTTCCACTCTGGGAAAATAGATTCCTCCTTAACACGAGTGATATCCAATGACTTTGGTTGCAACACAAAACGAGTATATAAGCACTGAACAAAATGCACCTTGTCCGCAATGGATTCCAATGTCCTTTTTATATCTTCCAAGACTGGGCAAACAAATCCTTGAATATTAGAGGATATACTACAAACAACACTCCACACAGCAGCTTGAAAGGATTTACATAATAACTTCTGTTTGACGACTGCAACTGGGACCGAGTTAATATACTCCAATGTTTCAAAATGTTCCATGCCATCCAGTTCCTAGAAATTAGTTTATATTAGATGGTATACCAGTAGCAAAAGAGCAACATCATAAGGTGAACTGAAAGACAGTGAATCACTTCAAAATGGAAACCAAGTAATCACATACACAGTGTGTGTGTGTGTGTGTGTGTGTGTGTGTGTTTGGGAGCATTTGCATTCAAATTTGTTAGTGCGCACATCTGCATTAAACTGTAAAATGAGGCAGAAGCAAGAGTCCTGATAAGAAAATTGTAGTCATTCAAGATACCTCAATAACAACATCAGAGAGCCTTTTAATACCAAAGGCAATACATATTCTCTCTGGGAGATCTTGGTGAGCAAATCTTAGCCTGGTAGTGTCGATATATTTCACATAGCGTGAACCATAAGAGTCAATATACACACATGACTTTGCATGAACAAGTCTGCAACCATCGTCTGGGACTATTGCGTCAGAATCCCAGGTAGTTGCTGCAGCAGAATTTCTTTCATCACAAATGAAATGCACAATTTCCAATACAGCTCGAAATTCATTAGGATTTAGCCGCTGATAACCACATGCTTTTTGAAGACTTAAAAGAAGGTTTTTAGCTGAATTGACTGAGAGTGTATCTTGAAGGCCCAAGTCTCTAAGAATGTTGACAAAAGTTAGGTAGAGCGCAGGAAGTTCAAATGCAAACGGGGAAAGATTTACTGTCAAACGTGCAAAAAGTGAGCTTGCTGTCACCAAGCGTGTGCCATTTGCAGCTGGAATGAAAGCAACTTGGCACAAAGCCTCTCTGTCTAGTAGTTTACAAAAAAAAAAAAAAAAAAAAAAAAAAAAAAAAAAAAAAAACGAAAGAATGCGTTATGAACTACCAAAAGAAAAAGAGAAAGGATTAATTCTAATTCTGGTCCCTTAACAATTACATTTTTCCACATTTGATCGAGTTCAAAATCGATAAGATTTGGGCCCCTGGACTATTGAAAATGTCACTTTTAGCCAATAGTCAAGGACCAAATTTGGCAGATTTGAACTCTAGGAACAGAAGTGGAAAAAACACAAGGGATAAAAATTGGAATTAACTCTAAAAAATAAATTTATAGCATGATCAGCTACCCAGAAATATTATAGGCAGCAGAATAAAGTAATCAAAGAAAAACTATATTTTAATATGTCAAATGGAAGAAAAATTCAAGTCAACAACACAATATTGAAAAGAAAAATAAAAAAATATTTTAGTTGATTAAAATTTTCAGTTAAACATGCAAATAATATATCACTTGATTCCTAGGGGTCTCTTGTTATTCTTAGATGTCTCTTATGCTTATTCTTTAATGTAGATATAAATAGATATAACTAGATTGACACAAGCAAATCTAGTCTCTCTCATTTTCTACATGATACCAAAGCGCTGCATCAATTCCAGCCTATTCTTCATGAAAGAACTATAGAGGTTGATTGCGACTTTTTCCTAGGGAATTTTGCTTCTGAAGTTATTATACGATATATATTGGCAGATCCATCTCTTCTAAAAATCCATAGTTGAATAATTTGTTACAAGCTTGAAGTGCAGATTTGCATGCTTCACAGCTTGTGGGAGAGTTAAAACATGTGAAGGATATATTACTTTTTAAGTGTATCATGTTAATTCTAGGTCTCTTGGACTCATTCTTGTAACTTGTAACTGGTCAAAAATATACTTTCAGATGTTCTTTTATACATGCTCAAAGCAGAAGTCCTCCTATTCATATCCACATAGATGAACATATTGACTAAAAGAAAGCCACCTGAAGAAGAGAGGGAGCCCCAGACTTTGTCCAGATACTTCAACACATCAATAGAAGCTTCATCTATAGTCTTCAAACCTGATGCAGTTGGCCAGTGAGAAAGCGTGTCTTCACCACTATTTCTTCCAATGATCTGTGGCATATATTTGTAATTGTTCATATGGTTATCACAGGATTATTGAATAAGTACTAGAAGAAAAGGCCTACCTGAAGGTGCAATAAAACAGTTGAAAAGGGCGGAGGACTCCTCAAATTGAGAGCTCCCCAGGAGTATTCAGGTGGAACAACACAGTTTCTAGAAAGGATTGGAGTACAACTCCAAGCAAGTGGCCAATCCTTCAATAAGATAGATTCACTGTAAGAGCATAGTACTCTCTTCCCACACCTCTTGCCACCACTACCTGGAAGACCCTTTTCAGCAGGAACACAGACAATCTTTCCAAGAAGGTTGCAAAACTGGCTACTATATAGAACAGCAAAGTTTGAAATTATAGATTTTACCAAACTTTCAGCCAACAACCATACTTCAGAAGATACTTCATCCTGTGAGTTGAATAGTTCAATTTCAAATTCATCAGGAGCATGTTTAACACATTGGCTTCCAAGTGATTCGATTCTCTTGGCGCATTCAAGCACACTGTCAGAATCAGCTGAATTTCGGAGACCCACTTTCCTTAAAATGCGTAACCACCCATCAGAAATGAACCTTTCCCCAGGAAATTTCCTTCCAACACCAGAGAACACTGATGCTAAAAGAGCATCACCAGGATCAAACAGATCTTTGGGTTTGCACAGTTCCAATGACATCTCATCAGCGCTTTTAACAAAATGTGTTTCCTTAAGAGCTTCAACAATTGATGAATCTTCTTGTAGATCCTGCCAATTCATGTACAGATAAATTAAAATGTCCTCCTGCTCAGACTGAGGCTTTCTGTTGAATTCAGGTAATCCAAATTTTACCAAAATTTGTTGATCATGCAACTCAGGGATGCCAAGAGCTCTAAGTAAACAAATCTCACTAGAATCTGAGGAGTGTGATAGACAATGTTCATCATATGGCTTAAGAAATGTACTAGAAGGAACCATACACAAATCGTTCCCCTGCAATCTGGTGTATGATCCAGTAACTGTCTTATATATTGGAAGATCACGCAGTACCTCAACTTCCTCTCTTCCGTACCCAGAGCCATTAGAGGAGAAATCAGAAGCAAATAGTCTAAAAAGTTCATCACGTTCAGAATCTGAAAAGGACTTGGGATCAGAAAAATAGCTAGCACTTTTAGCTGCTGCAAACTTAGTAGCTAAAATTTGACCTAATGATTGTCCATCCCTAGGTAAGCATTGGCATGGAGCAGCACAATCCATGAAGGCAACATCAAATATTGGTATATTGCACTGGTTCAGCAAAGACAATAACCAAGGGTACTTTTCCTGAACAATACTAAAGGACAACTTGTACGATTGAATCACATCAGACTCTGAAGATAAACCAGATGTGTTTCTTTCTGCAGTTCCCATTTCCTCAAAGTTAGAGTTTGCATAAATATCACTGGGCGGAATGAACACAAGATGGCGCTCCCTTACACGACATAGAACTGGGCGACCAAGAAAGGCGGGAACAAGGGGCCAATCAGAGAAAAGAGGGAGGTTATCTGAACAATTAAAGGTCTTCCAGAAAAGTCTAATCCACTCAGGAGAAGGGCTCCATTCACTACCAGAAATAGCAGCATTCTCCCATGAAAACCATGGAGCCATTTTTGATTCAGTTACATGACTAACCCAGTTTTCATGAAAAAGAAATCTCATGTGATTAGCCAACAAGGAAGGTGAAAAGCTTTGTATTTTCAATAACAATTGAAGAGAGCTGTTAGATAAAATATTTGCCAAGATTGATCTCTCCAACACTTTAGGATGGATAAACTTTGCAGCCAAAGAAAGCATAAGTGACTGTTGCTCCTTGTTTCCTACCCATATTTCATTAACCCCTAATCTCGTCAAATGGTTTGATCCAGTTGGACAGGGTAAGCCTCTTATTTCAGCAGCCACAGATAGTATTCTCTGGTTGTCCTCATTCCTACTATTGATGCCATCTCTATTGGTGGCTGCAAGATTACTTCTTTGAGACACAGGCACTCCTGTTCTACCAATATCTTCAACTACGACACGGCCAAAATCAAATATGGCCTTTCCTAAGCTTGTCATCATTTCAAGGGCATCTCCTCCTGAACTACTTGAACTTGGGGTGGTACTGTGAATTCTTTGTCCCTGTGGGCTTGATAAAGAGACAGAATTGTCAAACTCTTCTCTAATGATAGGAGAAGCAGAGTTATTCACACCACTCAATCTAACAGGTGCATTTGATTTACAAGGCTCAAAGAGCATGATATCCGCTAAGCAATACTCAAGCACATCAACATATGTATCAACTGACCGAAGAACAATAGATGTTGAGGAAGCTCGAAGAAGGTCCCTCACCATTTTCGGTTTAATTTCCCTCACTATAACTCCTAGTGCCTGAATCTCATTCACCAATTCCCATGGCACTGAGAAGACTGGATAATGTTCCTTCACAAAGGCACAAACAGTAGCTGGAAGCAAACAACCCTCCACAGCACTTCCAGGTTGAGAAAGAAACATCCCCTCTTCAACCTTGACCAGGGTCCCAGAATACAGTTGCCAAACAGGTTGGTCAATAAGGTGAGCATAGAATGGCCTCGTAACTTGTTCTAGTATGCACTCCCAATCTGCTTTAGCAACTTTCACAGTCATAGAATCATTCAGATCTAATTCTTGATTAATCGGTTTATTCCCTCCTGACCTAGGCCAAAAAGAGTAAATTTGATCTCCATAAGCATTCAGAGTCAACCTGACACCATGGACCAAATTTGACTCAAGGATAGAAGTTGATGGATCTCTTCTTAACTTCTGCATTTCCAGGACCAATTTAATATAAGCATCGCGAACACAAGACATCAGCTCTCGATTCCAAGCTTCAATCAACTGATTTCCAGCATCAAACCTTGTGCCAGCTGAGGTTTCCTCATATTGGGACTTGAAGAGGAAGCGCCCTTGGTTGTGACATACAAGGAAATATCCAAGAATAGTGATAGGCAAGTTTACACCTCCAGACAGAGGAAGTGGGGACATGATAGCACTCACGGAACTGGTATCAGTAGGCTTTCCATTTTGTGATATCAGTGCTGCAACTCCAGCAACTGGAGTAAGATTGAATGCCATGTACCGCCTGTGAAAACAACTAAGGTGAAGTTTATCATAAAACACAAGGATAGTTCAGCACACAATAATCTCCCTATCATAGTAATGATACTGGTACCTACAAAAATCTTGAAGCTATTAAAAATATCCTTGTAACTTTTATCTCTAAAAGAATTAAGAGGTTTGGCATCACTGACACGAGAGTGCACCAACCTGCAGTTTGTCAAGTGCTTGCTTGAGCTACTGAGCTCAAACTTCACTCTCATATATCACACAGAAAAGCTAAGCTGGATTAAAGAAACCAATTCAATCTGCCTTCATTGGACAGGTATAGAAAACAATTAATATAGACTACAGAGAACTTTGGTTAACCAACACATAATCCTGCATAATCTAATACACATCCAAACTAGGTACAAAATCATAAACAGGGAGGATACAATAACTTCTTGAATATTCAATATTTAATTACCTCTATGACTAATGTTTTAGGAGCAACTCCATTCTGAATCAAATTTTACTGGCTTCTTAAGTATTACATTCAAGTAAAAAGAGAAAAACTTTGTATTGATTATTTGAAGAATAATATTTAGGCATGTCAAGACATTTACAAGGTTTCTATATTTATATAGTGCATGACTTCCATGTGCATCAATAAGCAGATATATGTTTGATTCTGTCCTTTCCAACATACCTATCAAGTGCCATATTTCTTGTTTGTCCTGAGCCAAGACTAAGTGCAACAAGCCAACGGTTAGCTACTCTATTCAGTCCTTTCTGCACAGTCACATCTATGACTTGCAACTTGGTTGAAGCACTAGAACTGCCAAATAAACTTGCTAGTTGGAATTTTTTCCACTTCCTCTCTGAGAAAGGATTTCTCCCAATACCAAACAAGGGATCCACATCAATTGAATAATCCAAGGTTCTCTGAGGGCTGTCTTTCTCCCATGTTGACAGTGTGACCTAAAAATGTAATTTAAAGAAAAACGAACAACATTACACAGATGACATTAACAAAGAAGAATTGAAGAACTAACTATGCATAAATTAACAGAAAAAAGTTACAAATTCTTTTAAACAATATAAGGAATAAAATGCATTGACGCAGCTTTAGTTTTTATCTTTTGGCACTTTTTCCCGTTTAGCCTCAAACCTTTGATAAGTAACCTACCAGAATAAGTAATTAGCATGTGAAATATGTGCGTACTCCTACCAAGTGCATTCAAGATGTTGGCTAACCTGCAAAACTGACTTCAAAAACAATATAGAAGCTGAAGAATGCTTGATAAATTTGTCAAACACCAATGTAACCCTTTCCAAGCCAGATTCAATTCCTTCCTTCATGACTTCTGAAGAAAGTGGCATGCGTATGATAGTAGAATTTGATATTGACCATTGCATATTTTCACCAATCAGCAAAGGGCTGAATTGATCATGAAACCGTTCCACTAAATTAGTACCTGTAAGAAAGAAGAAAGGTTAATTCAATCATTCAATGGCTTCAACATAAGGGGTAGTTAAGGCTGGATAAGAAATCCCTCAATAAGGACGGATAAAGCCCAATGCAATGCGTTTGCTTGACAAGATAGTAAGGAGGATATCCCATCAGACTAGTCAGAATTTCTGAATGTTGTCCTTTACGCTATGCTAAAAAATAATGCATCCATACCTTCTATTCTAAAAAATGATGCATGCAGTATATTAAAGCAATGACTATAGTACTTGTTTTTTTTAAATACTTCTGCATCAAATAAATAATGATGCAATTTACTAATTATTTTTATAAAGAGAAAGTAATTAAACATTAAATATTAAATTACTCTCTCCAATTTTATTTGTCCAACTATCCACTTTATTTCGTCCCAAAATTATGTCACTTTTCTAAATTAAAGAACACTAACTTTTTACATTTTCCAATTTACCCTTTATACTTGTTATGGAGTGTATATATATTAGACAAAGAAGCCAAAGGAAAAAGGAAGAAATAATCTTGGTAATGTAATTTTGTTTTGGCTTGTGAAATATTTCCTGTAACAAATGATCATAAATTTATGGCTCTTAATCTATGTTTGTTTCCATAATTATTTTTGTGCGTCTAGAAATGTTTTTAGACTTAGTTTGTATTTATCGCATACTTGAGAATATTTTCAACAGGAATGAATTCAAGATTAGCCTCAAATGCGTTTAGGAAATTCTTGTCTTAAAACAATTCTTCTAGGTCATATGTTCATGTTAAACTCATCTAAGGCTAGTCAAAATAAAATAAATATTCAAAATTAATTTTTTTTTATGACTAAGCCAAATGACTAGTATAGGTTTTGGCATCATCAAAAAAGGGAGAAATTGTTAGGAATAAATTGTAATTAGATTTTGATGAGCCAAAATGTATTTTAGGATGAAAAATTTAGTCTCCTATTTATTTTATATTTTATTTTGAGTATGAGCCAATTTTAACAACTCCAGGAAAATTAATTCAAAAAGAGATGAGCAATGGTATTGAAGGTATAAAACTAAGGAAGAAGAAGAAGAAGAATATGACTACGTGATGAAGATGAAGTCACAGTTTCACTATTATGATTAAGAAGCCAAGGTTTTAAATTTCAGCTAAGGAAGTGGATGTAAAATAATGGAGCCACGGTTTTAATACAAAAAGCTAAGGTTTATCTATTAAGCCAAGGTTTCAACTTAAGCTAAGGAAATAAGGTAAAGTGTTTGAATCCTGCAAGAAGCAAAATAAAGAAGAGGTCACGCTTTGCATTAAAAGAGTTGAAGAGGTCACGCTATGATCGAACAAAGGAGGAGGTCACGCTATTGGAGGTCACGGTTTGATCTAAGAAGGAGGTTATGCTTTGAAGGAGGTCACACTCTTACTTCAAGAAAGGAGGTCACACTTTACTTCAAAGGAGGAGGTCACGCTTTAGGAGGCCACGCTATTAGGAGGCCACGCTATTAGAGGTCACGCGGAGAAGTGTTAGACAAGTACTATTGCTCGTAGGTAAACTGTGTATCTGTATTTACTGTGATGAATGTACAGAAGACAAAGGAGCTATATATACAAGCTAAGGAAAGAACTAAGCCACTTATTTCAAATTTCAAACCAAAAGGGTTGAGAGTAATTCTCTCAACCGGAACCTAACTTCTCTAACAAGAAGAAAAGGCCACGGTTTTGATCAGGAACGAAAGCCATGGTTTTTGAGAAAGAAAACCAGCCAAGGATTTAATAAGGCCAAGGTCTTAACTAATGAGCTTAGTCTCTATTCAATAACAAGCCACAATCCAAAGAACTGACAAATTCATTTTAGAAGAGGCCAGGCGTGAATCAACAAATCAAAGATGGAATTTGAAGAGATGTTCTAAGAAGAAGATGATCAGCTGATGAACGCTCCTGATGAAGAGGCCAGGAGTGAAAGTTCCTGATGAACATTGGAGATAATCTTCAAGCCACATTCTTAGCAACATATTAAGCTCTCCAACACAAATTTCAAGGAAGATAACTTGCCAAATCAGTAAAAATCTCACAAAGTCAAAAAGAATATCCTAACATCTGATCAAGCAGCAGAAGCAAAATTTCAACACATCAAGTCACTGCAAATCAGATCCAATTTCAAAATTTTTTAATTTGAAATTGTTATCTCCAACGGACAATTTCAAAATTCTCAACTATAAATAGAGATGAAGACTTGAAGAGAAGTACACAAATGATAAGATATAAGTGCCACACAAAAGAGGTATACACGAGAGCAAGTTGAAGAAAATCTTCCAAAAATATTTCTCACTCTTCATCTACAAGAGAGACTCACCACTCACAGATCAAAACCTCAGGAAGTCTCCACGTTGGAAAAGAGAAGAGAAAACATTGTTTTTTATAACAAGTGATTTCCCTAATGAGTGTAGGTAGAGGGCTAAGTAGCAAAGGAGTTTGTGAAAACCCTGGGAGTGCAAGCTTGGTGCAGAGGCACTCTAAGTTGGATTTAGTGCTAGCTTAGTGTTCAAAGCACTAAAAGGAGAAGCTGTAGAAGTGCTGAGTTGGAGAACTAGCACTTGTTAATTCACTATTGTATCTTGGTAACTGAAATAGTGAATTCTTCCTGGAGATAGGAGTAGAGTGGAGGTAGGCTAAGTTTGGCCGAACCACTTAAAAATCTCGTCTCTCTTTACCGCCTTTATTTACTGCTTGCATACACCTTCATATACTCATAATCATTCACAATCATCACACAGAACACTTTAATTATATTTATTACGCTGTGCACTCTAAGTTATATCTTACTCTTAAGCATTGAATATTTTCATACTTATCATTATTTCTGTTGAAGAAGATCATATTGTATTATCTCTTACACTACATAAGCAAACAAATAGACTGACTACAATATATATAGGCAGTAGAGGAATACTAATAGAACCTAGGGATACTAACAGACATCTAAGAAACCTACATATACATAGGAATACTAACAGCTGTCTAGGAAAACAAGAAATAATAAAAGCACAATAAATCTCAACAATTTCTTAGAGCCATTTTCAAAGTGATAGCTTTTAAATTGCTTGAAAAGTCTATTCACCCCCCCCCCCCCTCTCCCTCCCCTCTAGACTTTTCACCACCCTACCGGGACCAACAGGTTATCAGGAGGGTATATTGGGAACTTTAGCTATAACGTTTATAAAGGGCTCTCAATGCTATATTTATAATAATGCGCACATCATAATGGACCAAAACTAGGGCTACAACAACTAAAGCAGTGTTATTCAAAGACTCCCCGTAAAGCTAGAGCATATAGATCATATGCATCAAGTTTGTCACAAATATAATTATTGCAAGGACCCTTGAGCAAAGATCTTTCAATAGTTTATCAGTAGCATAACTAGTGGTCAAAAACATTGTCATACTCCCCCTTACTCAAAACTTGGGAGTTGGGAAAATGGAAGTCCCTAGAGAACAATAGTACCATATATGAATGGCTTCAGCAAAACATGGCATTATGCACACAAAGTCATGAAGGATGGATGTTTGACAAAATGGCCACAAAAAAACATGGCACTATGTGAACTCTGGATTTACGTTGGCTGTAGCTAAGAGCCTAAGACAAGCTGCCAATGGGTTCTGGTGTGTGTTGTGCATGTGGAGGAATGGGACCAGACTTTAGACATAACTTTCCTGGCTGAATCCAACAGTGCTGATGATGACACAATCGAAACACCAAAAAAGGATATTTGAGCAAAAATTACATTGGGTGGTGGAGTGTTGAGACAGCTAATGAGATTCAGAGCACCGTGGTAGGAATGGTTTCCTGTGTAGACCACTGAAAAGTGACCAATCTAAGTGTTAAGAGTCCACATCTATAAAATAAGAGAGAACATATGGGTTTATAAGGCCATGGGTTAGACTAGCTAATTGGTTGGATTCAATCTTTTAGTGTGGTTTGGCTCATGTGCATTATAGCCCAATTGAGTGACCATGGCCTCTTAAATTATAACATGGTATCAGAGCCTACTCGGTCCACTTTGGGTTCCCCCGGTTATGGGTATTGGTGGCGTCCAAGCTTAAGCCTGCTTGTTCGGTCCACTTTGGTGGCGTCTGGAGCTTTCGTTTCAGGGGAGGATCTGGTCCAATTTCAAGTGGTCAACCGGTTAGATTCAAAATGGCCCGGTTGTCCACTTGAGGAGGAGTGTCAAGAGTCCCACATCTATAAAATAAGAGGGAACATATGGGTTTATAAGGCCATGGGTTAGACTAGCTAATTAGTTGGATTCAATCTTTTAGTGTGGTTTGGCCCATGTGCATTATAGCCCAGTTGAGTGACCATGGCCCAATCTTAAATTATAACACTGAGAAAAGGTTGGTTGTGGCTCCTATAGCCAACTATAGCATATCATTGTTACTTTGGAAGAAGAAGGGGGTAGAGAATTAAAGACGAGAAAGAAATGGCTCAAATACCACATTGAGGGTTTGAAGGTAAAGAGGGCAGCAAAGAGCTACCACCCGGCGGAGATGTGGAAGCTATGTGTAGAACAAGTGGAATGAAGAGATGAAGAGAAAAATGTTGAGAGTCTAGGCTCTAAGTGTTATAATTTAGAGTAATATGTTCATCATAATTGGTCAAAACTAGGGCTACAATATTGTAACATGCACCATCAATCAATAGTTCTAATTTCTCTAACTTCTTAAATTTTAACTATTAAACCATGAGTGCACAAACAAGTGAAGTTATCAATGAAATGATAAATATATGAAAGATAATCATCTGCATGATTAGGACAAGATATTGCATGGGAAGTGAGAGACCAACCTTGAAGAGAGAACACTTTTGCCGTAGATGCACGATTTGCAGGCAAGGGAAGAGCTAAACCTCTTGGATCAAACATGTACAGGCAGCCATCAGAAACAACTAACAGAAAGTCAGTTATGGAAAAACAGCTAAGCAGTCCCAGTCCATAATTAACTGTATTGCCAAGCAGACTCCATGGAGGAAGATATTGAAGGCCAGCCACTTCATCTCTACTTAAATTGGCCCCTTCAAGGATCGCTATCAGAGCCGGCCCTTGAAAATCACCTACAAAGTAAACATTATCCACCACCTCAGATCATTGTCAGGTAACGACATAACAATGCCAGAAAATGTCAAAGAGTTGGATATATACTATTTACTTGTACAAAAAAAGCTTGTACTATAAATACACACACACACACGTGTGTGTAAGGGGGTGGGGAGAGGGTGGGCAACTGCCCCCATTGTCCCCCATCTCCCTCCGCCCCTGTTCATATAGCCATTCAATGCAATCAATCAATAACAATAAATAAAAGTGAGTATTGCTAATAATCATGGGAGTTTCTTCAACATTTAGAAGGATGCAGGAATATTCGTAATTATTATTTATTGTTTCAGTTTTATAAATGCAATACATGAGTAGGTTGAGAATAGAAGATATTACCAAGATTATGTTGCAATAGGGACTGACGTGGATGCTCTCTTTTGTCAAGAATCAAGTGCAGCCTTTTTGATTTGCAGCAATCTGCCAACTCAAGTAGATCAAACAAAAGGAAGCCACTGTTTCCATACAACTCCACAAGGTCACATATTTTAGAGTAGTCCATGCATGGAAAATCTTTCATCATTTCTTCACTACCTATAGAGACAGAACGAAGTGATTGAATGCCCAATCTATTAGCAAGGTCATGGCTGATGCAAGGATGTACAAATCGTTGTCCAACAAGGGTGTCGTTCTCCATCCATGGAGCATCATTATAAACAAGTTCTCCAATTTTCACAAGAACACCAGAAGAATCAGGGATTATTAATGGACTAGTTGAACCTTCAAAGATCGGAGTGTCTAATGAGAAATCAGCAACAGCTTCCAGGATGCAATGAACAAAATTCAATTGATCATTTGAAAGGGCGCAACCTTTCACATCATTTTGTAACCTTTGCAGAACATGTAAGTAATCAAAAATATTAAAACTATGTCTAACACCTAATTCCAATAGCAAATCTCTGAATTCTGTTAGCTCTGATGGCACAACATATAAGTACGGACTAAATTTCAAGGGTGAATCAAATGCAAGGACATCAGTGGATACAAAATCATCTCCTATCCAGACCCAATGAATGCCACCCAATGCAGATTTAAGAAATTTGAAGTCCTCAGTACCAATATATTCTTGCATCTGTGAATAAACTGAATATACATGCTTCTGCAATTCAGCATCAAGATTAGGTATTGTGTGTGAATTTGCATGGATCTCAGCATAAGAGTTGGATAAACCAATTAACTGTGCAGACAAAATCTGCACATTTAATCGATCCATCCAACCAAGATTATGTTGGAGCAAATCTGAACATTCACCATCCAAGATATGCATCATTGAAGACAACATCCACATCTGAGACTTCGGCCTAACACTAGTTGGCATTGCTATGCTCTGCCCAACTGCAAACCACGGAAGTCCACCTATAGGCGGTTCATCATATACTGGACACCAGCTGATAGATCTTAATTCAGACCAAAACTGCTCTTGAGGCATATCATCAACCCAGTGGCTGAAGAGAGAACCAAAGCTAGAGCATTCTCTCTCAAAACCATCAGTAGTGTGCTTCTCTTCATCAAGAATAGCAAGACTTCCAATCTGACATTCCATAGCATCTTTAGGCTTTCCAAAACTCTGTCCCACTTCATTGGAGGAGAGTTTCAATGCCACTATATCCAACAAGTTAAGCAGCCTCCTAGCATACACTATAGCTTCAGAGGCATTTAAATCATGTAACATTGAGACTGACCTTGCACAGTCAAGCAATCCAGTAAATCCCAATGTTTTCCTAAGTCCAAGCTTTGCAAGAATTTCTAGTATCTCAGGATCTGAAAATTTCTCATCAGGAAAGTATGCTCCTACATAGAGCAGCATTTTAAGCTCAGAAACACGAGGATCATAAAGCCTGCAGAAACAGAGTATAAAAAGAGCATCTTAAACTAAATGCCAGTACATACCAATGCTATCTAAGTGTTGAGAGGCTGCAGATACACTTGCACACATATCACTTCAACATAAACATATAAATTAATAGAGCGCACTCGAAGAAAGAAGAAAAAAATCACATCTATAACCAATATAAATGTACTTTATGCTTTTTTCTTATGACTAAAACACCATGCACTTTTTCTTTTTGTGCTTTTGATTTCATTAATGAATCATTAATTATTTGAAGACACTTTCCAAATGGAAACTCTATTAAGTGTAAGAATATCCTTCTTACAAAGTTTAGGAACATAAGTCCTAAAATAAGCGAAAACCAAGAAGCTTGTTCTTTCAGAAGTTTGTCTTATAAAAACTGTTCTCCTTCCCTCTTTAAATGTTTGTTCATCTCTCCATTCGCAAATGGGGTACAAAGAATGAAATGGTCTCAAGAAGCTTATTCTTTCAGATAGAGAAGAAATCCTTTGGAATCCAACACCAGGGGTGCTGTTAAGTAGAGGATGTCAATGTGTGGGACCAAAGGATATCAGAGGGCTATTGAGTTGGCAGGGGTGGAACTTGAATGGATAAGCTGAGCTTTGCCAGAAATCAGGGAATGGAGGGCACCTTCGGGGAGCAGGATGGGTTATGCTTTGGTGCCCCACCCCCACACACCCCACCCCCAAAAAAAAAAAAAACAAAAAAACAAAAAAAAAATCCCCTCCTAGACTCCTAGTATTTGCAATTCCATAGAATGTGGAAGGAAAAGTTGGACATGTGAAGACCAAATTACCCTTTTTACTCCCTAATCCTAATTCATTCTAATTTATTACTCCGTATTATTTATTAAAAATATTATTATACTTTATAATTTATTATAAACCATGGAATGTAATTCATTTTAATTTATAATTTTTATTATTATTATTATTATTATTATTATTATTATTATTATTATTATTATTATTATTATGCATGGGCATTTTGGTCTTTATACTACTTATTTCCTTTCAATACCCACGTAAACCAAACAATAAAATAAAAATTCCTAGTAATTCTATTCCAACCAACCAAACAATGGAATTTGAGTTCATACTTCATTCCCCCATTACTCCTCTCCCGTAGAATTGCAATTCTTTCCTTTTTTTTTGATAACTATAATCTATCCTATATATAGTATCTGCTCAACATGATTACGCCAACATCCTTGATTGGGATGGGACTCGAACCTGTGACCTTCCGTTTGCAATTCTTTAACCCCCCTACTAGTTCCTTCATTGCAACCAAATGCCCCGTAATAGAAATTATGAAACGTTCCATTATAGTGGGTAAGAAATACTTTTCAGTGAAAATAGATTTGGGAAGAGGGGAATTCATTAAGCCCCAATTTGGATGGAGTTGTCTTCCATCAATGAAGTTTAAAAAAAAAAAAAAAAAATTAAAAAAAATTAAAAAAAAAAATTAAAAAAAAAAGAGATAAAAATGGAGTTTCAATGCAAAAAAAGAGAAGCATGGAAACTAGCACCGTACTCGTTAGCGAAAAAACAGTGGTCCCAAGTGTGTTGGTCACCCGATTTAAATTTGAAGTTGGAACAAGATAGAGAACATGCATGTGACACACCAAGACAGACCACTGGTTGCTTCATCTAGCTAATTGTGGTTGGAATTACACTTCTGCTCCTTTAAGTGATGGCTTAGGTTTGGGAATTGGGGTAATGACCATCTAGACCAAGCCCAATGTTGTTCTGAAAGGTCAGCCTAAAGACCCTTAGTTAACGAAATAGCAAGCCAACATTTTCAACCTCAATTTCAATCTGAAGTTGACATGGATGTCTTCAAAAACTGAATGGAGTCTAGAGAGGGTGTAATACAAGCTAAACCTACAACTGCCAAGGAAGTTGTTGCTAGAATGCCAATGACAATGACAACCACTTTGAGGAAATTAAGGCATCATTCAAAGAAATGTGGGCAAAGCAAAGACTACCATTTGACCATTTCTCATTTGGCAACGAGCAAGCCAAGACAATTTCAGACATTTACTCTAAAGCAAAACCAACGAACATGATGTGACTTCAGAATCAGCCACTTTATACCAGTCCTCTTCAATAAATTAATCCAAAACCCAACACCAAGTTGGAACCAAATAAAATTTGGATAAAATTGAGAATTTGGGGTAATATTGATAGAGGGCAAGACTAAGCAAGAGAGACAAGGCAAAGTGATTGGCAAATGGCATATAAGGTGGATTTTTTAAAACGTGAGAAGAAAACCAACCAGGATTATTGCCTCTTATGAGGCTTCATTAAAAGGCTTGTTCTCTTTTAAGTGCATGACTCCATCCAGTGTTGCACAAATCGGCCTATGTGGCTGCCTAGGCGCAACATAGGCGCTAGGTGCCCCTATGTGGATGTGTATTCTGATGTAGATGTCCCATTTAGGCAATCGTTAGACTAGTCAACCGAGTTGACCGACTAGACCGATTAATAGAACAAGTAAGCCTTTTTTCCTTTGTGCGCTGCCGCTACCTTCACCGGAGTTCACACCCTTGCAGTTGCCCATCATAGTCGTAGGCTCGTAGCTACTCACCTCACCCATCACCTTTGTAGAGCCCCTTGCCTTGTCAAACGGTTGGATTTCCTTCGTGTTTCAAAGCCCATTGTTGTAGCTCGTTATCACTGCTTGGAAGTCATCTCTTCCACTCATCGCCAACTGAAGTTGAAGAGAGATAGTAATGCTTCATAGGTGGAAATATGAAATCTTGGAACTTGAAATTAGGGTTATTCTTTTGTTCGAAATTACAGTTAGAGATTTTTATGAGATAAGAATTTAATTTGTTGAGTTTTTTACTATATCCTTAGATTTAGTTGTTACCATAATAGGCCTATAGATGTAGGCTTTTCATTGTACGTTATTGGTTATTGATTAGACTAATCATATAAATTTTCCTACTTTTATATTAATTCTCCTTCTACTGCTATTTTATTATTCTATTCTTGCCTTTCTGGCGGGTGGTATCATTAGCCACCCGTCGGACCCTATTTAAATTTTAACATGGTATCAGAGCAATAACCTTCAATCAAGAACTTTCAAGTGTCTAATCTCAGTGTTTTCCAAGGGTCTTTGTTTTGGCATTTCGGTGTTGTTCGTGGCCATATTACTTCCCAAGGGCAATGAGTTTCCTGTGGGTTTTTTTTTTTGGCATTACCATGATTGTTTCGGTATGCCGTATTGTTTTCCCAAGGAGTTCAATTCTGAGATTGTTGGCTAGTACATTTTGTTTATTGCTGATTAAGGGTGAGTTGGCTACATATTATGTTAATCTGTAAGCTTTTCGCATCCATATGCTCTAGCTTAAGGGGGCGTGTTAGAAATTACCGTTAGAGATTTTTATGAGGTAGAATTTAGTTTGTTGCGTTTTTTACTATATTCTTAGATTTAGTTGTTATCATAGTAAGCCTATAAATACAGGTTTTCCATTGTACGTTATTGGTTATTGATCAGACTAGTCATATAAATTTTCTTACTTTTATATTAATTCTCCTTCTACTGCTATTTTATTATTCTATTCTTGCCTTTCCAGAGGGTGGTATCATTAGCTACCCGTCGGACCCTATTTAAATTTTAACATTTTTTAGCTTTGGAAAGTTTGTGCTTGGACTAAACTTTTAAAGTTTGGGCTAGACTTTAAGTTTTGGGCTAGGGTTAGGCTTTAATGCATTATTGTTTTATCAAATGTAATTAATAATTTTATATATATATATATATTGAAGAAACTAGGCGGCGACTTGGCGGCTGGCACTCATCCACCGCCCGATGAGCGCCTAGCGCCTTTTACAACCTTGACCCCATCTTAGCTTTGGTTTTTGGAGTAAATACGTTTTAATAGCTTTGGGACAAACAAAAACTTATGCTTCATTCTTAGAAAAAATAAATGAGTAAATTGGGGGAAAACGAAAATGCTTCACATGGAAAAGATTTTCCAATGTAAGTTTTTCATGTGTTTAGTTATATTTTATGATCTTCAATGAAAATAGCATGTGTTTCTATAAACTCCATAAGGAAAAAGGAATAATGGAGAGAGAACAGATTACTGCCGTCTACAGTTGCCACTGTCAGGGCTCCCAGAGAAGTGTGTTGTAAAGGGGCGGGTCTTTGATGGAGTGGGCCACCATTACTAAAAGTCACCTATAATGGTTGTTGTGATAATAGAGGGAGTTGGGGAGGGGGAAGCATAAAGGTGGGTATTTGGGAGAATAAAGAAAATTCCCAACGCATCCGTAAAACAATTTAGAAGGTTTTCAGGCATACAAGTTTTTACACTAAAAAGGGAAAAAATTATTTCCAGGAGGATATTTTATGAGCATTTACATCAAGTAACCAATATATAAACCATAAAATATTTAATGCATAAACAATATTATGCTTTATTCTATATTAAGTGAAAGGGTTGTTCATGAATATAAGTCTTCCACATCATAGTATTCGAGTGCCACTTCGTTCGTGAAAAGATACAAGGTTTAATATCCACTGGATTTGTTAAGACGGGAGAACAATTAGGGGACCTATTCACAAAGGCCCTAAAAGGAACTCGAATTAGTTTTTTAGGTAACAAGTTGGGCATGATAAACATCTATGCTCCAACATGAGGGGGTGCAAGGTTATCAAGGCGGACTTTCTAGGCGAGATGCCACCGACTGCCTAGTCGACTAGTCGACTAGGCGACCGCCTAGGCGATGAGTATTAAATAAATAAAAAGTATATATATATATTGAAAATATCTTGTCTTGGGCAGCCTTTTTGCTGGCCTATTTACTTGAAGTAGATGAATAGTTTTTCCTAGAATAGTGAAAAGTCTAGTATTTATTGTATATTGAAAATATCTTGTCTTGGGCAGCCTTTTCACAACCCTATTTACTTCAAGTTGTCTTGGTGGTGAGAAGTCTAGTATATATTGATAACATGCCAGAGTGAGGTAGTGGGTTTTGCTCGGAACGGGAGGACGACGCCGGAGCTTGAACCGCGCCGCCATCAGAGCCTCCATGCACCGCCACTGTGCCGCTGCTCCGACACCACGCGCCGGTGCGTGAGGCAGATTCCGGCGACTTCTCCGGCCGAAAATTACACCGGTCAACTCGCCTTAGTGTGTAGGTTCTGCCCATGTATGTTTTGTGGAATTTTGGGTTGTATTCTACACTTAGGTGAGGCGAGCGCATTAGGCGTTCGGTCTTGACCGACCGGACGCCTAGGCGTCGACTAGGCCACACGAGGGGGTGTGTTATGAAATATATAGGTATCATGAAACATATATATATATATATATATATATATATATATATATATTTATTTATTTATTTATATTTATATATGTGTGTGTATGTATATATTAGGTAGCCTGGAGATTTATAAGGATTTGAGTAGGTGGTCATAAGGAAAGAATTTGTCTTGTTTCCTTCTTAGAAGTCTTCTAGCATGTATATATAGGGTTGAATGTTTCTCCTTTCTAGGGATGATAATACACACGAATTCAGAAACCTTCTCTTTACTTTCGTAACAAAGAAAACATGAAAAACATGGAAACATGTGAACCACATAATTCACATGTAGATAGGGTGTATAAAGAATCCAGAACTATCTTGTAGATATTATTTATAGGCGGAAATTTGAGCAGGTTAAAATCCAAACTGCACACTTTTCAACCTGTCTAACCTGCCTAGTTTATACTGCAAATAAAAAATGGGCAGCCTAAGAAAGGACCAAATATGGACTTTATTCTATGAAACTTAACTCATTCAATATTAATTTATTCAAAATATCATTATGTTGTTTGGTTAACAATATTGGAAATTTTTTTTTATAAACAATCAAGTTTTAATATAAATTATTAACATTTTATAGTGAGTCAAAAATGGGAGACAGCCCTAACTCAATGACCATAAGAACATTAGGAGCCAGGTGTGATTAAATTGTACGCATAACGCACCTGAATGGCTCTTTCAAGGATCCATTGCAAGTTGAAACAAACGCTACCTTAGAAATTTCTGCTTTGAAAGAGTCATCCTTTTCCATCAAGAAATTGATGTCCTGTAAAATAGCTGAAAGAAATCCTTCCTTCAAAACGAACTCCACCATGCGATTGAGTACGTAATCTTTGTAGAATACAACCTTTGTGGGCTCACTGATCTCAAAGTACTTGTTGAGGATAATTCTATCTTTTTCGGATTCCATCCTTAAAAAATCATCATTCAAGAAATCCTCAAATACATCAGTAGGGGCAAGCCATTTGGTTGACCTGCTTAGAGATACAAACTTTCTGCTCTTGAATGACTCAAACATTGGGATGTGTTTGATGGTGTTCATATGAGTACTATTGATTGAGCCTTCAGAGAACCACTTGGACTGGAGAATATAGCTTCTAAGTTCATGCAGCTCCCCTTCCAATGCATCACTAAAGAGCCCCTCTACATTGTCTGGCTTCCCAGCTATTGCAAGTAATGCTTTTAAGATACCAGCAGCAGTAGGAGGCTGGACATACAGTTCCAACTGTGGATGCTCTATTGGCAGGTTACGCATCAATACAAAGCATCCAACACGCAACAACAGTGAGGACATGTTCTCACTCCAACCTCCGACCATGATCACATTAGAATTTTCAACAAGCCGCAAGAGATAACTATTTTCAATAGGCAAAATAGGCCAATTACAAAACAAAGAGAGATCATCACAATGACACTTGAGATAGTTCCACAATAGTTTCATCCATTCCATGCTTGGATGTCCCCCAGAACTAGGTACCCATATTACTTGTTTAGCTTGCTGCCACTCTACTGGCAGTAATCTTACAAGGAGTTTCGCAAGCAAAGGGCATGTCAAGAAAGTAACATTGAAATTCTCACTTTGAGCTATTTCACATAACTTCCCGTGAAGAAATTCAGAAATGCTTGAATCTGTAAGTTGGTTAGGAAGAGAATCCTTGAGGAGATCATATCCATCTCCATGTGCAATATAAATTCGTTCACTGGCCCCTCTCTTCTCGAATTTTGTGAACAAACCATTGGATAGAGGTAAAAGAGGTAAACCATAAAAACTTTCAGATTGAAATGGACTTTGCAAATCAAGCAAGCAATATTCCAAGGTCAAAATCATTGCATTTCTATCTCGAAATTCACGTTGCTTCCTAATTAGAAGAGTCCGTAGCAACTGAGGTGTAAGGAAATTAAGTGATGGGCAAATTTCCATAAAGTTATCCACAATAGCCTTAGGAATAGATGCAATAGGTAAACCAGCATCTGACAATGCTTCAACAAGTTCCAATGCCTTAGAAAAGGAGAAATCAGGAAATATTGCTTGCTTCGTTGATATCCAGTGCCCCCCTCTTGCTCTTGTATGCAATACGCGGAGATTAGCATCTGTGATATAATTATAGAATTTCCGCACCATTGATGTCCATGGTTCAAATCCCACCACCATTGGCCAAAAGGTGAAAAACAAATCACATGGACCAATTTCTGATGCAACTTTTTCAATCAAATGGCCATATGCTGGAGCAGCAACATCTTCAAGTAGATATGTATTCCAGTCTGAGCGCTTTTTCCCACCCCCTGCCATGTCATTGCCAAACCATATATCCCTTCTGTTTGATGATAACTCAAAGTAAGCATTAACATGCACAGGGAGGCCAGTACATATTGGGAGTGGCAGAAAACAGAAGGCACGGCCCTCAAAAGTCTTTATTGCTTCAGCAGAAGCTAGGGAGCCAACAAGCATGTCAGGAGTAATGACAACAGTTTCCTCAAAAGAGTTATCACTCCCAAGCATTTCTTTTACAATATTTACAGACTGCAAACAAGTAGCAACACAAGCCCAGGGAACAAATTTATTCATCTCACCAAACCTTTCCTGGTGACTCCTACTGCGTATATTACCCAAGCACTCACTAGCCAACCACAAATACGACCGACCACCAGAAGAACCCTTTTCTGACAGCAAAATCTTCTGGCACTTCCATTGAAACTTTGTGTCTATAGATTTGCATAATTGGTTAAGGAACTGAACTTTATCCATGCCAGGCTGATTCCTAGACATCAGGCCAAACACTTTATCAAACGAATCACTTTCTCCTTCAGGCTCACTAACATATTGCTTTTGAACTGAATGTATCAATTGCATTTCACTATTAGCCCCTTCTTTCACAAAAATGGAGATATTTTTCACATTTCGTAAGAAAAGCAAAGTCTCAGAAACAACTTCAGAAAAGGAAGAGAAAAGTGTTAGGACATCATCTGGTTCATACACTTCCTTCTTGATTTGGCTTCTCAAAGCAACAGTAGCACTCCGAAGAGGGAAACGGAAAAGGGTACCACGGAATGGATTTTGGAGGTCACAGCCAAAATGAAGAAATGGAGAGAATTGGTCAGGGAATTGTTCTAATATCCTTCTTCCCACAAATTTGATTCGCAAACCAGGGTGGGAAGGAGAGATTCCAGGTAAACTACAGGCATGAGGATCAAACATGACAACATTTTCCCCAGAAACAAAAGTAGGAATATCTGTGAAGTGATAAACAGAATTAAATCCCAATCCAAATCTTCCAATAGCAAATGGTTTCTCCAGTTTACTTTCTTGACCAATACGAGAGATTGCATACAAATCTTGGGGACTGAAAACTGAGTTGTTGAAGCAGTACAAAGCAGGGCCCTGCCAATCTGCCATCTCAGGAGAAAGAACAGATGAAGTCCCATACTGACTTTTATCCAATAAAAATGCCACCTTGGAGGCATTCGCATCCTCAGCATTTTGCACTAGTTCAAAGAGAACCCCAGGGCCATCGGCATACATTTCAAGGATATGTCTCAGCCTAGTTGTCAATGATTCATGCTGACCAAATGCTTCAGCAGCACCAGACAAACTTAAATTCATAGAGTCTGCACTCTCTGCAAGAAGCATCCTCCGAAAAGATCGAACTCCAAGTTTCTCGGCTACATCATTAGAAATGTTTCCATGCACAAATCTTTGAATAGTTTGTTTTGCATGTAAGGCCATGGCAGATCCATTAGAAGAGTCAGGATCATCTGAATCAAGCAACCAGGGAGCATCATTATAGACCAGATCTGTAGCATTAAATAATCGACATGACACATCTGGGAGATAGATTTTAATTTGATCTTCATAAAACTGTACATCAGACAGATGTTGTGCAATCAATATGGCAGCCCTAATTTCCTCAGTGTCTAAGGGAAGGGAGCCTTTTCTACTAGCCATTCGACATAATATATTAGCATAATCGCTAGGCCTCAACGACTCCTGGACCCCAAGCTCAAAAAATAAGTCTTTGAAAACTGCTAGATCAATGGGTATAACACGCATGTAAGGAGCCAAATGAAGTGGACCATTAAGGACAACCTCATCTGGAGTTGCAAATCCATCACCGACCCAGATCCATCGGCAACCCTCTAAAATAGCCTTTACAATGTCCATCTCATCTGAACCAATCATGGCTGTTAGTATAGAGTATACCCTTGGCATTGCTAAAGCTAATTCCTGACGAAGCTCTGGATCAGAAACAATCTCATTGTTTTTTCCAAGTTCAAGCAGTTGGGCAGCAATTACACTTCCTCCAGGTGGAGAGGACCAACCAAGCTGATTAGACAAAATTGAAGAGGAGCATTCTCCATCCAGTATTCGCATGCTGGCAGAAACAAGCCACAAGTCTGCATATGGTCTTACAATCTTAGGAGGAGCAACCATGGATGATACAGCAGGCCAAGGCAAAGACTGGTAGGGAGAATGAATAAGAACAGGACACCAAGAAATAAGGCGAAGATCATTCCAGAACTTTTCTAAGTCAGATCTTATATGGCGAGGTTTAAGCACATTAGCAGCTCTGGCAAACATTCTGTTCATTGTTCGTTGATCATCCTTGGGATGATCTGGTAGCAACTTCATTGCATTCACTTCAAGATATGAAAGAAGTACTTTGCCTCTTGATTGAGCCATTTCTTGATTCTTTTGCATTAACAGCTCCACTTGTTGAGCACTCTGTATGATGGTCTCAGTAGATACAGTAGTCCTAAGACCCAAACCTTTTAACATATCTAAAACATCATCGTCATTGAAAGCACCAGAAGGAAAGCAATCAGAATCTTCAAGTAGAGAAAACAGTTCTTCATTTCTTGGATCATATAGCACTGCTGGACTCTTCAGAGAGCCACTAGATGTGGGAATAAAGTTCAAATTTTTCAGCATTTCTCTAAAAGATGCATCTTCAGAACATAGCTGCGGTAAATCTTTCAGAACTGACAGCATGATGCTGTCACGAACAGTAGGATCTAACCCACTAATCCTGGTTAATACACGTCTCTTATAAAATTCCGGTTTCCCCATTCGTTTAATTCCAAAGTATCTATTTAGCACCTCTTCTTCAGTACTAGACAAACTGCTAATGAATTCACCAGAAAGGAGGCACTCAGGACAATCCAGGGGACGCAAGTATTTTTGAGGATTTACTAAATCAGAGAACTGAATACTTTCAGATGATTCCCCACCGTAAACTCTGTAAATAGGTAGCCTCTTGCAATTCCATATGTCAGAATCATCCATACACTTCCCAATGTACCACTTTGGATCCAAAAGAAACCTACGCAGTTCATCTCTTTCTCCCACTTCCAGGTTCTGAAGAAATGTCAGTCTGCTGTCATCACTTGAAGAGGCAACATCAAAGATAGACTTCAAAACACCAACACAATCAGCTTCATAGACATAATGGAACAAGTCAGGGTGCTCAACACCATATTCGGTATTTAGCATATTGCATCCAATATCAAATAGAATCTGCCGCATTTGTTCAGACAATTTGTCTGGATTCAACAATTTTGAATGTTTTGATGGCTTAAACAAATAGCAAGAGAGTGATGGTAATATAGGCCAATCACCAAAAGAAGATAATTTTTCACATTCAACCCTGATATAGCGCCAGAAAAGCACAAACCATGAAGAAGTTGGATGTTTAGCTGTACGAGAGTCTGGCTCCCAAAGAACTTTAGGTTTGTATCTCCATTCAGCAGGAAAAAGTTCTTGTAATAATTTAAGGAATTCATCAACATTAAAAACAAAGATGTTTGCCCCTGATGCATTTGCAACAGCCAACAGTCTGTTTAATATGTGGCCAGGAATTTTATAGTCAATAATGTTATCGGCAACATTTTGTAGAAGCATATGCTCCAATTCATTGCAAATAAAATAAGAGACCCCATCATTAGGTTCAGAAAATGACCCGAAGTCACCATTTGCTAAAGGAAGCAAAGGCAAGCCAGACACATGCTTGCCAACATCTGCATCAACCAGATCCTCAATGCAATATTCCAGTAGCATGAGCCTGTACGATCTGTCAATCAAGTTGATACATTTGCAACCCTTAAGATACTGGCGTACAGAATCTGGAGTAACTACCAGCCACTGGACACCACAGCCATGGGTCACTAGCATATTAAATAAACCATTCGGCAAATGAACAACAGGCATGCCTAGCTCTACAAGAGCGTTCTCAAGCTCTTTACTTGAGAAGTCCTCATTATAAAGAAAAGCTTCTCTCCCCGATACCCATTTCCCTCCTTCAACAGCAGAGAAGAAGACAGGTAAGTCGCTGATGCTTTTGTAAATATGCTCAACTAAAATACTCCATGGCTCATTGAATGACCCATTGGGCCACAAAGAATAATAAACCTTAGTTGGACCAAGTATCTCTTGAATGCTTAGGAGTAATTGACCAAAACAAGGAGCAACAACATCTTCCAAGAGAAGTCTGTTCCAGAGAGAACGAATTCTTCCAGATCTATCCATATCAGCTCCATACCAAATGCCACGTCGATTTGATGAAACTTCAAAGAATCCATTTATTTGTACCCGCAATCCAGTTTTGACAGGTAAAGGGAGGAAACAGAAAGCCCGACCTTGCAGGAGAATATCATCCTGTTAGAACAAGATCAGAGAATTACTAACAGGTCACAAAAGCAGGACATAAAACTAACAGCAGAACTAACACATCATTCTTTACAGTGAGTCCATGGAAAGACTAGCAACCAAGGAAAACAACAATAAACCTAAAATCACAGAGTGTATAGAAAATTATGCAAAGAAAAAACCAACACTCATGGCAAGTCTCGTTTTTATATAAAACCAAGTATAAAACATGTAAAAACTGAATAAATATTTCACCAATTCCACTTCCATGCTCCTATGAAAGCTTAATGGGGAAATTTTCTCTCCTAATAATCTAATATCACTACCATATTTAAACAAACCAGAAATCAACCACTACCGAAAAAGTGTATGAACCATATCAATTGCATTAGAAGAAAGAGTATGAACTATAGACTTTCATACATGATAAATCAGAGATGTGACTTCTTTATTATAGTCAATATAGCTCAACTTTCTTGCCCTATAAGTTAGTCACGTGAGTTGATTCATTTGAAAGATACTCTTTCCACTCCACACTGAGCAGACTACTCCACTAAACTGCAAGTTTATCCAAATTAATCAAATTTCAGTTAATAATTTGACCCAAAAAAATATTTTTTTTTTAATTATATTTGGATAATTCCCCTGTTCTCTTAAATCAACCAAAAAACTAGTATTTACAGAAAAGTCTTCAGTATTAAGCATAAATTGCAGCTGCATTTCTTATAATCTAATGTAATTAACTACACGTCTCCTTCAAAAAAAAAAAAAAGTTACTACACGTCTACACCAGCTCTTCTAGTCTGGCATAGTTAAACAAACAACCATGTATTGTGTATTTGAGTTTACTTTTTATGTCTTCATAAGTGAACGAATAAAATAAAATTAGTGTTTCTAAGCCAGATATCTTTGTCAACTACTCCTTTTAGAAGACTGAATTAGTAGCAATTGCATCTATTACCAACTCTTTTTCTCATCATCCCTTGCCTTTTGTCAAAGGTTCTTTAATAGATCCTTCATTTTCATTTTTTTCAATGCGCAATAACTTCTTCATTTGATAAAACAAATTTAATTGCTCCTTGAGGGGAAATATCATTTATTCTTTTGAATTTGATTTTATATCTGAATGCAACTTCATTGATATTCTACGACAGCATACTTTTCAAATAAGCCTACGGATTATAACATGAAGTAGGGCTTATTGGCTATTGGCATTATTTTAAGACTGAGCATAACTACTTGTGATGAAGTCATTACTGGAACTTAGAGGTCTGTGCAATAGGAATTCTAGGTGTAATTCACAAACCTAACAGATTATACACTTTCTATATGTAATTTAGGCAAGTTAGACAGTTTGTAACTGTAATTTGCCATGACATCAAATACATAGCTACCTAAATCAGGTCAAAGAGAGCAGTGAGCAACAAGCAGATTATGAAATATTATTATCAATACAATACAGAACAAAATTGCAAATAGACATGATAAAAGGAATAAGGTTTGGTGTAGTTCCTGCACAGTTTTGGAGATACCATTTATTCCCTATTTACTTCTTGTTGGGGATAATAGGCCCAGATAGACCAAGCCAGGCATCATGGTCCAATCCAAGTATCATGGCTCAATCCTAAGGACACACCCCAACCCAACTACTTTGATCCAATTCAAATGCCCTTAGCCCAAGTAATGCCACAAGAGGACGCACCCATTGGTAGATTTACAGGAATCCTGAGAGAAGTCCAACCAAGGCCTATAACAAACACTAGGAGATAGTGGAAGGGTGACGTGGGGCGGTGGGGGCATGCCCTAACTACCTGCTAATACCCCACCATAGTTAAACAGTCAGGGGCACTCACTAGTCATTTACTGATTTACCTCACAAGTTGTACTCCTGAAAGCTAGCATATTCCCCACATTGTAATCCATTAACTGCAACCAAGGGCCACGCACCCATGTCTACATACAATTTCACCCATTATTCTCTCTCTTTGAATTAATTTATACCACCACTTGTCTTCCAAACTTTAGGGTTCAAATATTTTAGTTTTCCCCCTTTCAAAAAAAAAAAAAAAAGAAGAGTGAGGATTGAGGAGTGCATGAGTGGGAGGTGGGGGTATGGGATATTCAGATATGCAAGAATTTAATAAAGAAATGTTGCACATTACATTGGATGAATTATCTGATACACATGCTGCAACCGATGCCCAAGGCAGAAGATGGATATCAAAGTCTTTTGATGCAGTAGCAGCAAAGGATCCAATTCTGCTTGTTGGTGATGCCATTTTTTGCACTATATAGAAAGTGTCAATTCTCTGCTGAGACAATTTTCCAGTAAATGCCTCGCTTACAAAATTTAGCTTAAACCTATCAGGAGCTTCTCTAAAATCAGTTGCTTTTGATAACCTCAAAACTGTCTGGCGATGCCAAACCATATCACCCTCATCTGAGTTCACTGAGCAGGAGTAAGTCTTTCTAGGTTCAGGCATGTCAGTATCCCACTCATACATTTCTATAGAAAGTAGACTTTTAAGAAACAGCAGAGAGAACACTCCTTCCTCATAAAGCTGAACAAACATGGAAGAGATGTCATCTTCCAAGTACGATTGAGTTGAGAGTTTACTAACAGCAGCTTGATTTGCATTCCTCAAAGGGAAACGAAATAAAGTTCCAGGGAAAGGACTTTTCATGTCACAACCAAAAACACAATATGGATTTAACTGATCTTTATACAATGAGATGACTGAAGAAGTAACAAAATCGATACGCTTTCCAGGATTTGCAGTAGATACATTTGGAAGGTAAGCACCCTGAGGGTCAAATAGTACAACATATTTGCCACTGACAAAGGATGGCAAATCTGTTAGATGGTAGACTGAGTTGAAACCAACCCTGAAAGGCAACAGCATCAAAGAGCACATGAGATTAATAGATGCACAGAGAATGATAAAAACAAAACAAAAATAATAATAATAATAATAATAATAATAATAATAATAATAATAATGTTTTGATTAAACAAAAGCGCAGTTAGAGCCAGGACAGGGTCCTTAAATGAATCAAAGGGATAAAATTAAACAGTTGCCATTCACATAAACTGCAGCATTTTAAATAAAATAGAAATGATGTCCATATTCCTTTTCTCCTAACCCCCATTATCCCTCTCTAGGATAACAAATATCATTGCTTCAGTATTGTAACTTAAGGTTATGGGGCACATTGGCACCAAGATTCACCATGTAAAATAACATTGACAAACATATATCCAAGGATAGGCACTTTCTACCTAATGTCAACTATAATACAAGCAATGAAGCATCTAAAAATGCTCAGAATAGGATAACATGGCATTTTCACACATGGAAGGCCTAACTCAGAGATCAGCATACATATACTAACTGGCTCCAAAAAGGTAAGGAATACTGTAAACAAGCTGGGAGAGAATCAAAGAAATCCCAAATATACTTTTTTGTTGAAAATGCAGCATGGATTAGACACCACTATTCTTAAAGAAATGCAAAAGAAAGAAGAGGGCATGCTTTCCTTAATATTTAGAAATGTGAATTTGAAATTTTCATAATAAAGCCTCTCTTACAAGTTACAAGTCAAGGATAAAGGAAGGAAGCTTCTGAACAGACCTACAGCTAAAGACAACCCTATCCCACAAAAATCTGGGGATGACATAAATTAATCTTATGAACCCTTAAACAAGCTGATGCTAGGATAGAAAGATAAGAGATGGGTAGTTGAGGTGAGAGAGAGAGAGAGAGAGAGAGAGAGAGAGAGAGAGAGAGAGAAGTACAATAGATATTCTTCACCTAGTCAAAATCCTAAAACTGTAATAAATCACGCATTCCATGTTTGATGGACAGACAAAAATGTTTCACTGCCCCCAAAACAACAAAAATCCTAAACCAAACTCTTTTACCATGCAGTTTGCTCTCGCACGCATATTCCACTTAGGACAATTACATGATTTAAAGAAAATTCTATGGTGCAAATGGCACTTGTAATTTTGCACCAGGTACAAGTGTACAACCATGTAAGCATTTAGGGTTGTACGGGGTATTGTGGGAACAAGAGTTGGGTACTATGGGAACAAGAGTTGGATACTATGGGAACAAGAGTTGACAATACCCCATACAACCTCAAAAGTATACATGATTGTACTGTGGCACCATAGCACCAGTCCTAATCGACAAGGTAGACTTTCCCTATAATTTAATAGCATTAAAGCAACCCAAGAAGTGACGTTAGAGAACACTTTTGGCTCAACACATCAAAAACATGAGCCAGCCATCTTTTCATAGCTCAACAGAAAAAACTGATTGTCAATGATCTTTCTAGTTTTTTAAGAATATAAGTAAGCAACATATTAGTTGGCAGAATAACATAAATTAGTTGGATTTTGCTGCTCTGTTCGTGTTCATTTATACTAACTAAGAAACATCAATCAATATTCAAGGATCAGCTACTTTATAATGCAGATTAAACCACTTTATGTATGCCTCATTAATTAATTGTAATAAGTACAATCAACAAGTTCTTGGTTTAGTCATTCGTAGTTCCTGAAGCCAAAATGCGGAATTGAACCAATGGAGCAAAAACACATGAAGTAAACAATACGTATGTATACTTATATTTGTACATATGTTAATGCATACATTTACATATGTATGGGTGTGAATGCATACATAAATATTGCATTTTCAACCTTGCGTATAAACTAAATTGAAACGATAGTGGTGGTAATTAAGAAAATTACCCGAAGCGGCCGGTTTTCCAAGCCTGGCCGTGCTTTGTACTACCGCCGATCCTCGAGATACTAAGAAAATCCTCCTCCGTGAAAACGGCGTTGTTATAAGCCAGCAGCGCAGGGCCCTGCCATTGAGCCAGCCGATCAGAGAGCAGAGACTCGGTGCCATGAGAGCGGCGATCGAGGCACAGACAAATTTTGGTAGCGCCGGCGTCGTCGGCGTTCTGTATAAGCTCTTTCAATACAGTGGTGCCTTCCGGATAATTCAGTAACACCTCCCGGATCCTCCGTGTCAGATCGACTTTCTGACCGAAGTCTTCCATAATGGCCGACTCCGACGGCGTGATGTCCATCTCCGACGAATTACTCTGTGTCGGTTGGTCGTACCGGAAAACTAGTGTTTCGAGTCATTAGCAAAGAAGTCTGCCAATTATGGACTAGCCATCTTCATTGATAAGAATTCTCGAAAAAACCTGGACCATAGTCAAAACTCAAAAATGAGGGTATGCAAGTGTATCCCATTTTTAAGAGTAGGTCACGCATTTACATAATCAACCTCAAAAGAATAAAGGTCAAATAGGCCGCTAAACTGCATACCAAAATACAATTATGTCATTAAATTTAAAAATAATGTAATTAAGTCTCTGAACAACACAAAATTATGTAATTAAGTCCAAAATAACTTGTTTACCAGAAATGACAACACAAAATTATGTAATTAAGTCCAAAATAACTTGTTTACCTGAAATGGCAGTTACTAATTTTAAAAATACTTTTTAAATATAATTTTAAAAAAAAAAAAAAAAAACTGGAACTGATGGAGGCGAAGGTCTCCGACAGTTTCGTCTCCAGCTATGGAGACGAAGGTTCCTCTCCCTGGCCATGGAGACGAAGCCTTCGTCTCCACGGCTGGAGACCATCTCTTCGTCTCCGGCTATGGAGACGAATAGACCTTCATCTCTATGGCCAGGGAGACGAACGTCTTCGTCTCCATGGCTGGAGACGAAGACTGTCGGAGACGATTCGTCTCCGGCAGTTCTAGTTTTTTTTTAATTAATTATTTTATTTAAAAAATTATGTTTAAAATTGGTAACCGCCACGTTAGCACAATTCGATGGCCTATTTGACCTTTATTCCAACTTAAAATTACTTCACTATTCTCATAAGGGACGATTCCCCTTAGGCCAGTTCTCATGGCCTCCCGGAGCGAATAGGGACTAGTCGTGTAGATTTGTACCGTCGAATAGAGAAAAGATCCGGACCACTTCGTGATTTACACTAAAAATCACTTCAGTATTTTCTCTATATTCCTGCAATATTCTTTTACTTTCAAAAATGATCTCACCTTTGCATCACAATTATAAATTCATATATTTTTCATTAAATAAATACATATAATAATAATAATAATAATAATAATAATAATAATAATAATAATAATAATAAAATATTAAAAAGTAACTTTTGCTGCCATATTAAAAAATAATTTTTTGTCACCTCACATAGCAAGTGATAAACTTGCTCGGTTGAGGTTAGTTTTAGCCTGCCTTAAAAAAGTAATACTTGAAAGGAGAAAAATGTAGAGATCTCAAATCGAAGTTGGGCTGTTTTGTTTGATTTTTGTAAAAAAATGACGAAACAAATTGTCGCCCATTGCAAATGTTGTCTTCCGTCGCACAAATTCGTCGTAAGAAAACGACGGAAAAAAATTCCGTAGTAATTCCATCTCTAGATATTCCGTCGCAAAATTTATTTTCCGTCACAAAATTTCATCGTAAAATAATAACGTAACTAATCATTGTCGTGATTCCATCGCATTTTGGATGACAAAAATCTTTTCGTCGCCATAATTACAATGAATATTCCATCGCTAAAATTATATTTCATCGCAATTATGCTAAATTATAATTTTAATATTTTTGTAATTATTATTATTTTGTAAAATTCTAATATTTGTATTTAAAATGTTAATGTGCAAACTAAAATGTAATATAATTTGTTGTACTTAATACCAAAGTGATGTATAAACAACAATATAGTAATTCATAAAAGAAAAATCAAATCAAGGTGAATTCGATCGTGATGAGGGTGATGATGAAATACCAGCTTTCTCACTCTCAAGAGCATTTATTTTTTGCTGCATAAGAACCATAGAAGCCTTTAAGTTTTCAATCTCATCTAGGACCTTTGCAGAATTAGCATTCCCTGATGGCTGCGAGGTTGATTCTATATTGTTCGATGTGTTAGCATTTATTGGACTACGAATGAATGTACCATATGAGCCAAGTCCATAAACTCTTCTTTTTTTTATCATGTCCGCCAACTGCATCATAGTACAATTAACTCTCTTCTGCTTATTCTCCATTCTGTGTTAATACCTCCCATTGCAATGCAATTTGTTCCTACAAAAATTAAAAAATAAGTACAATTTTTATAAAGATTCATATACATTCAAAGAAAATCAAGATAAATAAACTTACATGGATTTGTTTGTCTTTTTCAACTATAAATGTTTGGCCATCATGTTTTTTGGTATGTGTATGCTTGAATAATTCAAAATATGATGGACGGCGACCAAATCGCTTTTCCTAAAAATTAGTTAAAATAAAAACAAAATGAAAGAAAAATTAAAACAAATAAGATTATAATATATAATAAAAATATTTCAAACATCAACTCAATAAGCAGAATATAATATAATCACACTGTTTTTATCACAATAGTTTCTACCAAATAAAAGTAACTATAAAAGTTACCTCTCAAACCCATACATCCAACGATATTGGACAGGACCAGCAATTTCAGCTTCATATGGCAAATGTATAGGCAAATGTTCCATTGAGTCAAAAAATCCTGGAACAAATATGCTCTCTAATTTACAGAGAATTATTGGGATTTCAGCTTTTAATCTGATCATTTCTTCAACTTTAATAACTCTTGAAGTTAAGCTTTTAGAGAAAAAACTTAATTCAGTTATCGCTTCCCAAACCTTGGTTGGCAACATCTCTCGAAATGCAATTGGTATCAACCTTTGCATGACTCTTCATTCCAAATAGTCTGTATTTGCTCATATCTACACACCTTCTCATATTTGACACATAACCATCTGGGAACTTCAAATTAGTCACCCATTCACATAACACTTGTTTCTGCTTCTTGTCTAATGAATAACAAGCTTTTGGGTATTTACCTGTGGAAGAGCTCTTTTCTAACTCTTTTCTATTACAAAAGAGTTTCAAATCTTCTCTTGCCTTTGCATTGTCTTTTGTCTTGCACTGAATGTTCATTACCCTATTAAAAACATTCTCAAAAACATTTTTCATCAAGGCAGCTCTCATTTGGAAATTTTGTTCAAAGACACATCGTAAGTTAGCACACCTTTTTCCCATAATTGTTTGAGTTCAACAATAATAGGTTGTAAGAAAACATCCAGTTTATTCTTAGGGTTCTTGGGTCCTGGCACTATTGTTGTTAGGAACATGTAAAGCTCTTTCATACACATGGATGGAGGTAAATTATAAGGTGTAATGATGATAGGCCAACAAGAATATTTTTGTCCTGACTATCCAAATGGTTGAAACCCATCCGTGTATAAGCCCAGCCTAACATTACAGATTTCAACTACAAATGAAGGATGACTTGCATTAAAATGCTTCCAAGCTTCTGAATCAGAAGGATGACACATAACTCCAGAGTCGTGGTCATGATTCTCATCATGCCATCTCATAGAAGCAGTAGTACATTCTCTTGTAAGGTATAAGAGGTCTCTTAGATGAACCCCTTGATTTTTTATACCTTGGCTGCTAACAGAATTTGCATTGGGTCAATTGCTCATTATCACCCCAATATAACATATACCCCAACCTACAACAATCAATTTTCTCCACCGGTAGCCCAAGTCCTTGTATTAGCTTCTTCGTATGGTAAAAACTGTCAACCATGTTATTGTCTTCTGGTAAGCCATCCTTAAACGATTGACAGAATGCATCAAAACACTGCTCTAGCATGCGATATTCAGCCTTTATGTTTAGCAATCTAGCCACAGCAGATAATTGTGTTAACTTTTCACAACCAGACCATAATTCTCTATCAGCAACATCTAACATGTCAAAAAAAATTTATCTTCTGCATTTGGCTCCTCACTCGCACTCCTTGCTACAAGATTTGTACCGGCAGCATCAAAAATCATTTGGTGGTAAGAATCCAACTATTGGTTTTGGTCATTTAAACACCGATCTGCATCAAACCCTATTGGAGTGCTACTATTTGTCATTTCTCCATGTCTATTCCACTCAAAGTAATTTGGCACAAATCCAAATTTACACAAGTGATATCTCACAATCTCAGCTTCTTCAAATGAGATGTGATGACAATGTATACACGGACATCGAATTTTACTTCCATCCATGAAATCTGGTTTACTACATGTAAACTCAATAAATGTTTCTAATCATTTTATAAAATCTGAATTAAGATTACCATGTTGAGTTCGCCTTTGATACATCCAACTTCTATCCATAATACTTATATGTAAAGACCTACACATATACATTCATATATTTAACAATCATTAGTGTTTAAAAAAATATTACTTAATTGCCTAACGAGCTGTAATTTCTTTAAAAAATTAGAATAAACATCGCAAAGATAAGAACGTTATGCATTAGTGAAGCAATTAACAAAGCAGTAGCAATTTAAGAATTAGAGAAGCAATAAGCAATTAACAAAATAAGAAAACTGAGTAATTACCCGCTACAGCCTACAGGTTCGCACTTCACATTCTGCATTTTGCAGGTTCATAGTCGTAATCTCACATAGTACTGGCTTAGTATTAGGCTCCCTAATGAACTATATTATATCCATTGACAACATTATGTTGTCTACTTTGGCAGTGTTACAGTATCAGTAATAGAAAACAACACACACAAAAAAAAAAAAAAAAAAAAAAAAAAAGCAAACAAAAGAGATGAAAATATAGTGCATAATATACACATGAACTATCACATTAAATTTTATCTACAGCAGGAAACAAGTGATTTGATGCAGTTGCACAACAGAATGCTAAGATATTCTCAAAACCAAATTCTAGAGTCTAGACCAATTAACTAGCAAGGTGGTCCTCCTTATGCCTCCACCACATGGATTGACCTGTTGCAACACCAAGCACTTAATGCAGAAACAAAGACTGTTTCTGCAGTTCAGAGCTAGTCTACCAAGCCCATTCTAACAGAGGATCAGGAGAAATCATTTCCTAGTAAGGGATCATTCTCCTGACAGCAAAATCATTTCCCAGCCACCCTCACAACAAACAATTCAAAACCCATTTTTGTTTTTGTTTAATGCTTCATATCCTCAGCCCATATTTATGTAGATTTTCCAGCTTAACTCTGCCAACATAACATTCAGAATTGGTATGCCAGCTGCATCCCCAACCCCAAACTCATAATGATCCCCAAATATTCATAATCAACAATTTAAAATGCTT